AAAAACATCACTTGTTTTTTTGATATATACTTAATGAATTTTTCACAGAAAATGGCATCGTATATTAGTTTTCTCTGTGATACACATTTGTGGTATCGGATATATGCGAGGTGTTATGTTTATGAGTTCAAAGGCATTGACCAACGATTAGGCATATAACCACCATATAATGGTACCACCTGATTTGATATTTCCCGTGCCATAGCAACATTTTAAGTACTTTAAAGAACAACGTGTCCTTATGGAACTATTACTATTCATATTTTAAGAAAAATGATCTAGGGAATGGATCTTAGAAGATATTCGCAATCTTCTGATTTTCATCCTTGCATTTGTCCCAAAATGTACGTGCATTCTATTGACAAAGTGTACATACAATGATCGCGTGTACATTCAATGATATATTCTCAATTATTTAGACTAAGATAAGAAAAATCCGTTCAGCCGTTCTCGAGTTTTAGCGAGACTAACGAACAGCAACTTTTTTCAAGTCAAAGACAATATGATTGTAGAAAATTAACGTATTTTGAGAATTTTCCATAAGATTACATAAAGATATACGCTGTCATTTTCGACCAAAATATGTCCAAAAAGTTGAAACCTCGGCATAAAATTTTGGAAATGCTAATATCTTTCAAAATATATTTTGCAACAGATTTTTCTCAAAATTTTCTTTCATAACGTAAACAGACAACTTTTTTCAAGTCAAAGATATACAATGGCAAACATTGTCTTGCCTTAACAATATTGTTAAGAAATAATTTTCAGTATTTCAGATTTGTTTTTCTTTTTGCTTTTTTTTATTCATACTTGCATAAACAATTTTTCTGGGTAAGAGATATATTTCGCCATATACCGATTTTGATCGTTACATTGGAAGCTATAGCACACACGCAATAAATTTGAATAATGTCATAGCATACTGAACTGAGTCTAGGATTATGATGCACTAAGTTTCGTGAAAATCGGTTCAAATTTAGATATACTTGCCATATATAGTTTCGTCCGATTTTACTAAATGATGCACCAAAACCCCTATATATTTTTCGATTTAAATGAAATATGTCATAGCGTACTGAACTTAGTCTAGAATTATATGTGCTAAGTTTCGTGAAAATCGGTTAAGATTTGTATATAGCTGCTATAAAGACCCAAAGTTTGTACGATTGACACAAAATTTTGTACAATGTACTGAAGTTAATATACATTAATTTCTGGCAAGTTACGTTGAAATCGTTTCATATTTAGATATAGCTCGACACGAAATTTTGCACTACGTATCAAATTGACTCTTGAATGACGTTATTACGTGTTGTTAAAATTAGCGCAGATGCTTCCATATATATTTCAAACGGGTGTCAGATTGAGATTAAATTTTGAAGAGTGCGGCCTACCGAATAGCGTGTATCAAGTTTGCTCTACATCGATTTACTTAAATTAGTCCCATTGTATTCAAACGACTCTAAACTTTCCCGAATGAAATGAAATTTAGCATAGGTTCCAGAAACGCATAAAGACCACCTATTCAAGTTCGTTCAATTTCATGAAAGTGTTCTTTCGAAAAGGTGACGTCTGTTAGGAGACATATGTAGAATATATCCAAAGTGGTGAAGGGTATCGTATAGTTGGCCCCGTCTGACTTTACTTCTTTCCTTTCTGGTTTTACCTTCTAATTGAATTCGTATTTCGCAGTAATTTTATATTTTGTTTTATATTTTGTTGAAAATGTACCTATCAATATTCACGAAAGCTTCCGAATAGACCCCATACAATGATACTCCACATTATTCGATGCGTTCGGAGGTTTGGCCAACGGTACCCGCAATATTCGGCATTTTGGGGAGCTTCTCTTAGCAAAAATTATCAATATTGGTCCAAGTTTTCAGATAGCCCCCATATATGTTATTCCCCTTTGTTCGGCATTTTCTCATGTGGTGTCAAATCTTCCTACCAAAATTTCACATTATAGTTGCTGCAATATGTCATTGACTGGATGGATATTAGAATTAGAATTCTCTGAATGGACACAATCTCGATTCCGAATGTCTTCTGATTTTCAATTCTTGCATTGCCCCAATAAATTCGTGAAACGTGTGCATACAATGATCGCGTGTACATTCAATGATATCCTTCTGAATTATTATTTTTTTTTGTATTCTCACCTAAAATATTTTCAATACAATGACAATCCAATTGAAAAAAATAAAATATGTACATACTTTGAAAATTTAAAAAAAAATTGACAATGCTTCATAATATTTTTTTGCAAATTTTTTCGCAGTTTTCGATTATTTCTCGCCTTTTAAACCTTCCCTGAAGCTCCACGAATATTTCAAGACTAAGATAAGAAAAATCCGTCCAGCCGTTCTCGAGTTTTAGCGAGACTAACGAACAGCAATTCATTTTTATATATATAGATAGATAGATATATGTATATATATAGATATTTCCACCACATTCAATTTTGTTGATTTAATACAACATATTTTTTTACTTTCAACAAAAGTATGCATTTCAAAGAAAATTAAATTGTAAAATGTTTGTCAACTCTTTTTGTTTTTCTTGTATCGACGTGTTATATTGGACAATAGTAGTATTCCTCTACATATGTACATACACCCCAATAAAATAATAACTAGGCGTATACAATATAACAATGACGATAAATGATCCAATTTTTTACATATACAGTTAGGCCTCATACAACAGGATTTATCATTTTTGCTACCATTTGTATTGGAAAATATCATAAAACATAACAGTTAATTTGAAATACTAATTATAAATTACATAAACGAATATTGATATATAGCCAAAATCTCCATATGGCTATCTTTTATTTTTTCTCCGTGAATGTAGAGTTGGCGATTTTTTATATAATAATAACAAAATATGTGTCATAGCTTGAAAGGACTATCTGTGTTTTTTAGATCCTACATCGATTACTTTATGAAACAGGCTTTTTACGGATTTATCAATACATATAGTTGGTAGAATTTTAACCTGGGCTTTTAATGCGGTTGGTTCGAATGCCGCCTACCAAACCGAATGACCACAAGAGTTGTTAATACCAGCTGTCGATTTTCTCGATTGGATTTATCACGAAATGTTTTTATGCGAAATGAAGAAAAAATTGGTTTATTCCCAATTATTTGACAACTTATTTTGTGGGGGTGGTGGTTACGCACGTACGTACAACTTTAATGGGAATTATCGTGTTCTAAAAGATTTTTAAAGAAAAAATAAAATGAAATTGTATTTTATGTATATGCTAATTTAATGTTTTTTATCCGTCCTGTGAAAAATTATTTATCAAATATATATTTTTTATATTAGTTGGATAACAAAAGCAGTGATATATCATAGTAACAAATGCAATGAATATTATTTGAAACAATAACATAGATTTGTTGTGTTCAAATACAGTAATAATGGAATGATTATCATGACACCTTTGAATAACAAAACCAGTATGAACAAGTAAAAACGATATAAAGTTCGGCCCGGCCGAACTTTCCGTGCCCTCATAAATGGGGCTCCTAGGATAAAACTCATGTTATGATAGGACCTTAAGCAAACCGAAAAATACGTGAGAAAAATATGATTGAAGCTCTCAAAATATCTAATAGTGGGGCTACCGTTACATGGGGCAACAATCCTACTGGGATCAATATTGTAATTTTTTTGTAATGAAAATACCAAATTACAAACAAATTCTGTTGAAAATTTATCCAAAATTCTTAAAATACCGCCTTGGGTCAATATTAATAATTTTTAGTGCGGCACCACCATATGTGCTTTTATGTGAACCCAAATAGTAAATTACAGCCTATTCGATTAAAAACGTGTCCAAAATTCCCATATTGGGCGGTACCATAGTATGAGGCTACCCTTATACATGGGTCAATGTTAAAAATGTTTAGTACGGAATACCCGGAATAATTTTTGGTATGGATATGTGTTTCAATGCGAACCCAAAATACAAAATTAAAGCCAGTCAGACATGTGATAGGAAAACGTGTCCAAAATACCGAATATTGGTGGTTACCGTTATATGAGCTCTACACCAAAACTTGGGCCGATATATTCCATTTGCAATACCAAACATCCTAGAAGTACTTGCAATGCCTTTGCAAAATTTCAGAGCTCTATCTTAAGTTCTCTCTCATCTTAAGGACCGGACGCGACCGACTATATGATACCCTACACTATTAAAGATCAAGAATATTGGAGGTGCTTTCAGAATCTTACTCGAACACATTATAAATTATATAGAGGATTAAAAAATACTAGTCACACGCCATTATGCACATTATCGTTTCACTTGAAAATTTTCAACTGGACAGACGTAGTATATTTCGTGTATCAATTACATAAAATTGGGCCAATAAAATCAGTCATGATAAATTTCATTGCAATTGGGTATATATATTTCGAAAATCATCAAATTGAGATGAGATGATGTATAGTCAAAAATTTATGTTATGTGCTCCATGAAAATTGTCAATTATAAAATAACAAAACGATTTGTCACCCACTGAGATCTATAGAAAGTCATCTTTCAACATTTCCATTCTATAAGCTCAGGGCTACTAAAGTGCTCTAAAAATGAAGATTCGGACAAAGCTTAAAGGATGACAAACCATTAGAAAAGTGGAAGATGTGGTTAAATGCGGCGTACATTAGTATTAAAAAAAAAACAACAACAACATTGGAAAGCCCACATAAGATAAACTCACGTTTTATGTGAATATATGCCCTTATCCAATTGACGATGAATCCAATAACAGGCACACGTTCTACATTAACATCATCTGCGGTACAATTTAAGCCAATTGGGCCCCAATCATCTTCCATTTGACAACGTCTGCGGTGTATGTAATTTGTTGAAGGCGACGACGGCTCATCATTGCCATCGTCAGTTGGTAATGTTGTTGCCACCATCATTGTGCTGGCCGCCACTTCTTCTTCGTCTTCGTCTTCGTCTCCTACTTCATTATCGTCGTCTAAATTGTTTTTATTGAAGAATTTCGACAGTTTGTGGAATAAATCATTTTCATTTATTTTCGACGAGGCCCCATAATCATCCTTGGTGTTGACGTCTGCGAAAAGTAACATTGAAACCAATCACTGGGTGGCATTAACCATTCGATTTTGACGCATTCAATTTGATTGACAACGTCCTTGGGTAAGGACTATTAATTACACAGCCACAAGAAGCGCTGGTCGTCTATCGAGGTCGAATGTGATTGTCATTCAAAGAGCATATCAAAAAAATCCGCACACAAACAGTGAATGCCAATGCCCAATCATTGATATATTCTCAGTTACGTTCTGAACATTTATTATTACCAATAGTTAATACATTTATTCAAATACGTACATGGCAATAATCATACACCAGACATGAGTACGTATGTGTGTATGTACGAGTATGATGATATGCACTTGACAAATGTTTGTTTCCACTTATTAGTAGTATGTGAATGAGATAAAGCTCTTGCTATTTGGCCACGTACGTATCATGCAACGGGCGTACACCGGAATGAGTACTACTACTATGTACAAGGGAGGGTGAGATGTGAACGAATGCTGGGGATAATATCCGAATGCTGGGGAAATGATATATGTTAGCTATTAATTCATTCATCTGATTGCACAAATGATTGATTGTATTGGTTTTATTGCTATAGTATTAAGAGTAGTTGTAGTGTACACATGTATAGATTATATACATAATACATGTGTGTATAATACATATTATGTATAGTATGTATGTACACATTTTAAAGAAAAGTACATCGTCCTATCAAAATGGAAACAAAGGTATCTGATTTTATCGTAGAAACATGTCTGCAGCTGACATTAACCACATTATAACACATGAACTGTTAAAACATTTTATGATATCAAACTAGGTTCGATACAATGATCTCGAATTTATATTTTAAGGATGTTACAACACCTTAGAAAATGCCCTTAACAATTAAGGAAGATAATTGCTCATCATAACACATAATTATACGCCTTAGTAAATATTCTATAAAATACAACATATCATAACTTGTGTGTGCAGCACATACAAGTCAGAGTTTAAAATTTATTCAGTCAATATGTTGAATACCTTTTCGAATTTTCCCTTTTATAAATGAATTTAACTTACTATGTTATATATGTTATTGTAAAAATATAATAGACGGTTATAATTATCAACTAGAAATTCGCAGATGACAACGAAAGTTCCAGGTTTTTGGCAAACTAAGTCTTTCGTTAGTAACCTCTTGAAATGGGGATTTACGGGTCATTCAGTACATATAAGGGAGTAATATACTTTAAAGATTTTATCAAGATTTTCAAATGGATTTTTTCTATACCATAGCTGCTCAAAATTTGAATAAAGTTCAACTTTGAAGATAAAGATCTGACTGATATTGGACAGTCATGCAGACAAATAGCTAAATACTTAAAAAATAGTCAATAATAGTGTCCAAATTGTTGGTAAAAGACGTCCCTCAAAATTGTTAACTGACGCAGATGCTCGGCATTTTGAAAACTTAATGAGGTATAGAGATTCTAGAATAACAAAATTAGCTGCCAAGGTGATAAATAAACACGTTAGATTGGACTGTTCGTAAATTCCTAGGTAGAATTGGTCCAGTTGCAGTAGTCAAGAAAAAATAAACCAGTCCTATAAAACAAAGAAAAATTGAAAACCGCGAAATTATATGGTTGGGTGTTTCACTTTGTGGAACATTATGATATAAGTTATAATGCTGAATATGGTAGAAGGAAGAGAAGTTATGGAAGGGAAGAAGGATAATTACCTCAATATTCTTTAAACAAATATAATAGAAATGTGTAGGAAACTGCATATCCTAGGAGGAGTTAAAATTTCTACAAGATATAGATCCTAAGCACAACTCGAAAATTATTAGAAATTGGTTGTGTAACCAAAAATTTGAATTGCTCGAATGGAAAACACAAACCGAGTATGTTAATCCTATCCAAAATTTGTAGGTGATTTTAAATATTACAAATGTAATATAATAAGTAACCAAACCTGAAACATTTGTATTGGGATCTCATTCATTAAGGATTTTGCTCGCCACTGTATACATCTATCGTATGAACTAGGATAAATGCAATCTTCCTTATTTTCGAAACGAATGTTTAAAGATTTGTTTACATATATAAGTTAAATATATTTATACCCTACACAACTATGTTGTCAGGGTATTATAGCTTTGTGCAGCTCCAAAAGTTTGTAACGCCGCGAAATATTGGTCCTAGACCCACCTTTAAGTATACCGATCGTCATATCTCGACTAGCTGAGTCGATCTAGACTTGTGTGTCCGTCCGTCTGTCCATTATAATTTGTAAACACGATACAGGCCACAGTTATGGACCAATCTTCACGAAATGTAGGATGGGTTCTGGCCAATGAAGACCCCTATTGTTTTTGGGAAAGATCGGTTAATATTTAGGGGATGAAATGGACCAAATACTAAATTTTTGTCGGTTTTTCTGGTCGCTCCAGAGGCCGCAATAAAGGCCCAAACACCGTGAATTTTTGCAAGGAGAAGCGGATCGGGCCAGAGAATGAGCATGCCTGTTTTGATAAAGATCGGTCAATATTTAGTGGGTCAAATGGACCCTAACTTTTGTGTGAAAAATGACAACATTTGTATTCTATAGCGTATATATTTACCACTGAAGGACGTAGACCTGAGAAGTTGATAGTATATCCAAGAGGAGTGGTTGATCTTTAAATTAAGACCAATTATATTGTTGTATGTGCTCGGATGTGGGAGTTACACCTAAATATTTGCAGGTATCTCCGTATTCGTATATTATTTAGTAACCCATTATCACTCTAGAGAGCGGAACTATAGCGCTGATCGCTTTGAACTGTTCCATGAGGTTCCAGTTATGGTCAAGGACAACGCCTTTAATTTTCGGTGATGATCAGATATTAATTTTGGAATGAAGTGGACCGAAAACTTATTTTTTGGGGTTTCTCGAGTCGATCAATAGACCACATATGAAAGCCGAACATCACAACACAACCCACGGTGAAGGGAATCTGGACAATAGCTGTACTGAATACACGTAATATTCGGAAAATATGTCAGTGTGAGGAAGAGGAGCTGTTTACCTTTAATCGGCCAAGAGGGTGCAAATATCGCGAAATATTGCCCAGTATCGGAATAAGCATCCGCAGAAAATTTGAGTTCCGTGGTAGTTGTGTAGGGTATCATATGGTCGGCCCCGTCCGACTATACTGCTCCGCTCACTGGTTTTCATCTAATTTGGATATCTAAATCGAGCTCTCAAGATCAGACATTATTTTACATATTTTTGTTACCAGGCATCATACATACATTAACCGCTAATAGAAACATCTCTCCATTAAATATGGCTTAACCTATGTTTTATTATTTAAGCTACAATGTAGCCAATATTACTTTGAATTTGTTTGTGGAATTAATTCCATTAAGATTTTTAGTATACTTTCTAAATGGTGTAGGTTCCTGATTTTACTTGTCTTTCTTTAATGAATAAATATTTTAATATTGAATTTATTCGCTTCGTTATCTACATTTAAAGAAGGCATGTGCTGATCAACAAATTATTGTTATTTGTATTTTGGATATCTGGCTACTATATACGCTGATAACTATTTATTCCTCTAAGACCAATATAAATATATTTTCATACCAAAAATAATTTTCATTGAATGTTATCATTGTTGTGTTAATTTTCATTTTTTTTCTTTTATTCTTTTGAATTATTTATTTCAATTTGTTTGAGTTGCTTTCGCATTAAAAACAAATTACCATCATTTACACTCTGGTACTTTTTTCCTCCCCAGTAAATTCACCTTCTAAAGGCTCAATCTGTTCTTGTGGAATTAATAGCGAAGGGCATATGATGGCAATATCCGTTAACCTCTGTGTGTGTGTGTGTGTGGGAGGTTGTGTGAGTGTATGTGAATGCTTGTGGGGCAAGTTGTTTATTGTATTGCTTCTTATTTATTTATACCAATATGGAATTCTACCAATTGAACGGCCTGCCTTGGCGCAGTTTCGGAAGTTATTGATTTTCTCCAACAAATCCAGGTATCCCGTCCGATGCTTTGCAACGGAATACCTTTGTTATCGTTAAGGCCATTACTTTCATCGTTCGATGACTCGAAAGTAATAATACCTCGTACCGTGTTCCGGTTTTGCGTACTTTTCATTTTCTGATTGTTCGGTGGGTGTGCTGGACGGAACATACATTAACATTCAGCCCAACCCCTTTTCTGTCCTGCAATGCGAAGAGGGGGCCAAGTGGTGAGTTAACTTTATGCTCACTGACTCATTAACCTCAATGCAGGAAGATGTGTAATATTAATGAAAATGTTTTAATCACTCTCAATCAATACATTTTCAATTAAACGTAAAGTGTTCACTAGATGTAAATAGGGAGCCTTGTAAGCTACCTGTGTACGTATTTGCGGTGATGGCTGGTGGTGGATGGGTGGTTGGTTGGCTACACTGCAATTGGGGGGTTAATTTATAGCCATATGAAAAAGCATACGGTTTAATCTATACTGGTCGATAACATAAATATTGCACAGAATGAGTGATGCATGGATTACTAATTCGCAAAGCCCTTAAATTGGAAAAGCCCATGAATGGAAAGAAGCTGCACAATGAATAGTGACGTGGAGTTATTCAAAAATAGGGAAATTTGTCGGTAATAATGTTGGTGTTGCAACGCTATATTTTGTCCTGAGGCTAAAATGCAAACGAGCGCAACTAATAATTTATTTATTTGTTTTAAATTTTAATTTTTTGTTGTTCCGCATTGAAGGAACCGCAATGACGATTTTGTTATCAAATTTAGGGTGTATAAATTCTGGTGTATAAAGGAATACTTTCCTTCATGAAAATTTTCGTTGTTTGGCATAGTCCCCCATATAGAAGTCCCATCTCATTTTAGGTATTCCGAAGAATTTATTCGCATTTTCCAACCTAGATATCAGCAATTTCTTATTTAGGTTCCTCAAAGAATAACAAAATTTGACCCGATCGATATGTTTTAAATTTGAAAATTATGTGTATAAGGTGGAAGGTATATACACTGACTGTAATAAGTATTTTGCCTCAATACAAATTGGAAAAAATTCCAATATATATGTCTATATGTATGTGTAAAGTCAGCATACTAAAGATGTAAAATGAATTATGAATGGTGGAATATGTTTGTGGACATCTTTAGATCGTAGTTCTGCAAGAATCACTGCGAAAGACCTATCGGTCTCGAAGATATCGCCCAAAATCTATACCAACCCAAAAATGTTTATCAAAAAAAGTATTTTGCTTTTTATTGTTATTTTAGAAAAAATCATTACATAGCACACGTTTGGTCTTTTTATAGTTACGATTGCGGTTAACAACATACTATAACGACAATTGACGACAATTCCAATAAACCACGGTATTTTTTCCTAAGTATTTTCTCACATTTACATTCAATACATTCTTCAGCAATATTTTATTTAATATTTTGTAATTTCTCGTCTTAATCTCAAGATGAGAGTATTACATATAGTCGTCACGGCTTCAAAATATCCCAAATATGTTTTGAATAATAAAATGGAGATTTTGCAAATTATAACGCCAGGACAGGACCTTAAAAACAATTAAAACCAAAATCCGATAAACAAATTATTTAAAAAAATATCGCAAAACCCCATTTTTCTGACTTCGAAAACTTTATGGTTCATTAATATAGTTCTAGGAACCAATATATGTGATGATAATACCAATAAGGAGGTCTGATTCGTATTTCTTTCTTCTTTTGTTGACCAATGCTATTACCAATAAAATTCAATCACTATTTGTGATTTAACGACATTTTGTAGACTACAAGGATATTCCTGGGGTGCAATTTCCGCCGAAAACTTCCAGTCCAGTTGCGAAATTAATAGGCATCGTTATAAGAGACGTAAAGTGTTGTCATTACTTCGCAATGCATTACACAACGACATGCTGGGAAAAACATTGAATATCTGTAGATGTTGGTACTCTGTTATTTGTGTTCTAACCGCAACGCAGTGTAATAGTGCAAACCAAAATAAATATTGTACATTTAAATCCGTTTGCATTTCAGCCACATACAATGTGCCTGGTCACACAACAGCAATGATTGGCTGGCTGGTTGTATGACTGGACGAGTAAAGTATGAATGAACAGAATTAATTATTAACATACCTTCCAAAGTGTTGTCGTTATGCGAGAGAATTGAGGGCATCAACGTTGTGGTGGGCTCACTTGAACGCATATTGAAATCGAACGGATATGCTGCATTTGGTATTGCCCCCTGTAGTTTGGGGGCCGGGGGTATGGCTTCGCCTTCCTTGTAGAATTGATCCTCATCATAGAGCTCATCTTGGTCCATGTCGAGTTCACTTTGTTGTGGTTCATCGGGTTCAGGTGCAGTTTCATAGCGGTCCTTAAGGACTTTGCGTGGTACTGTTAATAGAAAATTAAATGAAATTATTTATTTCAAAACGAAAGAGAACAATATGCCACAATTGTTTCGTCTTGGCTCATAAAATGGTAATTTGAATACAATTATGGCGGGTCTTTAGATTTGACGCTATGTTTGACACTAACGAACAGTGGGATGATAATGCGTAGTTATTTTTTATTCAACCAACGTCTTATTTATTTCCACGAATTGTTGTAAATGGGTAATTAGGAATATTTTCTTGGAATACAAAATTGATATTGTTATTTTAAATAAAATTAATTAAATCAACATAGAAGCCTGTGTGTGGGTAGGAAATCCATCATCGAAATTAATTCAGTTTAAATTAATGTGGTTATTAAAATTATTTGATATATACGAAGCGTAAACTGTCTCACCTACATACCACACAGCATTACTGTTGTATTATGAACGTGAGACAGATAATCTATACACTCTGATACACTTTTCATATACCCTTTGTTTTCTTTTAAAATATAATTTACGTTTATAAATTTCTTTCTTAAAGAAGCTAGCTATTTATTGTCGAGAAGTGAAATATCTTCAAAATGTTTTCTGAAGTTCTACTAATTAGTTGGGGCTCAAACCTAATTTAAGGGCAACCCATTATCTGTTTCAAGAAATTTCTTTATTCCATTATTGTATAATTGCGCCTACAATAACTCAAGAATTTCCCTTTAAAAAATCTATAGGCGATTTATGATGTCATAGTATGAAATTCCAAATTTGAAGTATATTTTTCGAAACAGCGTTTTTACAAACGTAGCAATGGTATTAAAATACAAATCGAGAATTCAGGGGAGTTTTGAATCTATGTAAAAAATCACATTTGAAAATGTAAAAAGCGTAATATTTTAGCAATAGTTAACTATTATTCTAACATATTGATTTGCATTTTTGATTGACTTCTGTTAAATTATAATCCTTAAGGAATACGTAAAACTAAAGTATTTTAACTTGCTAATTTCTTGACCCACTGTATATTCTAATGTGACGGTGTATTATACAATACTTACTGCAAGTGTAAACGACTTTCAAATGCATCGGTATATCATTTTTGCATGGTCTTCCAAATGTGCCGGCATCCGCTGTCACCGAACAACGACGTCGTCCGTGGCAAATTTGCATAACCGTCTCCGTGGCATAAGACACCAGGCAAGCTGCAGGCAAAAGTAATAAGGAATAAGAGAGATGACAAAAAAATAAAAAAGGAAAAAATGTAAGGAACAAGCCACATGATTAAGTTTCATCATCTAAAGTGTATAACGTATTTCAACATTGCATTGCACATTATTCGCTGCTTGGCTGGCAGCAAGACATTTCGTTGCTCATATTTTGCAAATGCAAATAGTCGAACACGCACACACACACACTGACAAATACATAGTAACAAACACGCAATTACTGGTTGACAGGGCGAAATGGCAGCCCTAATTGCATCTCACAAACACAACCAACCAACCAACAATTGCTAATACTTACTCTGTTTACCAGTCGTATCCGGCGTAGTCTGCGTCTGGGACGGCTGTGTGCTACTGTTGTGCGGGCATTGTACACTTTCACGCTCTATGTAGCCAAACGAGGCGCTATAGATGGCTATTCTGGAGTAGGGATTGCACACAAGTGGCATATTGTCGTTTTCACATGCCACTTTGGATCGAAACTCATCTGCAAGAGGGAGAAGTGAGTGAGTGAGTGTTAGGGAAGAAATACAATTCCTTAGGTTAGTATTCCTAGTATGCTGCGTAGAAAGTATTTGTTGTTGCTGTTAGTGCCCTTTCGAACTACAGCCGTCGTGACCCACCCCCTTAATGGGAAAATGTATCAAATGTCATAAAGTTTAATTTAATCGCCATTGTAGATTATGTCATGGCCCTTTTCACTGTACGCAGTGCTAGCTGCCGGATGCCACCGTTTTCTTTTGGCGAAATATTTGGAGACATCATCTGGCACTTGGCTTCCACGGACACTGAGCGTGGTGAGTCCTTGAGCGAAACAAAAAAAAGTAGAGAATGCTAACATGTTTATCTGGAAATAAGATTTTCCAATTTCCGTTTACTTTCGCTTGGATTTGAACAATTAAATAAAAATTGTCAACTGAATTTTTCACTGAAGTGGCAATGTGCCGTGAAGCATTTCCGTTTTCGTTGCTCCGTTCCAATTGAATGTGGTGACAATGCCTATTTCATTGTTATCAGCTCCTCGGTCGTGTTGAGCTGTGATTCCGTAACGAAATCTAATTGCAATCAAGTTGGAGAACAACGGCAATGAATCGGTACGTTTGATTACACAAAATGGCCAACGTGGGATAATTTGTTTGTTTGTGGCAGACAAAGTTTCGGTTTATTTTATACTTTGCAGATATGGATTGTAACTTCATTACGAGAAGATATTGGTTCATAAATTGATTTAATAACAAATTGAAAGAATTTGTCCCAAAGTGAAATTCCCACACACAAATCGGGAGTTGTTGTTTTTTTCTAAGCTGATGGTGGAATGTGAATTGAAACAAATGGACGGGTAATGGCGAATGTACATGTTTCAATTTTACGTCAAGTAATTGTATATCTCTTAATATACATACGAGTAAGCAGTATATATTAAAAAAATATTTAATTTAATGAGCTTAAAAGAATCAGACTCGGTGAACATTTATATTTTGGAATACGAGGGAAGTATTCCGAAATTGGGTTTTCATATGAAGGTTCCCATAAAAGTAATTACGTCAATGCATATGTACTTATATCAGCGTTTTTAGATTAAATTTAATTTTTATATTATTGTATACGTGTCTTCTTATTTCATCAATTCAGTTAATAGAGATTTTTCGTGATTTTAAATAAAATGTAATAGCATATACTTTCAACATAAAGGAAAACAGAAGCCAATAACCGGAAAGCATATATGGTACTCACGTGGTACTACTACGGTATTTGTTCAAATAAACACATATAAACCGATTGGCTACAAAGCTAAAATTTCGCATAAACGCTTTTTTTTGTAGGTTTTCGTTACTTTAAGAATTTTAGACACGTTTTTAAACGGAATAGTCTGAAATTTGGTATTACGAATTCTCATTGCTTAGAAAATCCCTATTGTGTAATCATTGGGTTGGAAATTCCCTTACAGGAAATTATCAATGTTGGTCCGCATTTGGATACAGGATTCATATTGGTAGGACTTGACACACTTTTTAAAACCGAAATGGCTGTAATGTAGGTTTTCGTTTCATATGGGTAGAAAATCACTCTACCACAAATTGTGAATATCGTTTAACTTTTAGATGGAGCCCCGTATTATATTTCGGTATTATGAAGATTTCGGGGACGTTTTTCCACCGAAGAGGTTATAATTTGATATTTGGGTTTATAATTGAGAAGGGTATTTAACTTCACTACCACTACTTTCATTTTCGATATATGCTCATAATAATCTTTATCTTCTATTTAGTTGCATTGCAAATTAACGCATTTGCAATTTTTTTTAAATTCACTTTTTTATTTCGAAATATATTTCGATTTCAAATGGTCATTATAATGAAATTTTAAAAACGTGCCATATAAATTGCTTTTACTGAAACATAGTGTGCTTCCATCACTCAGTATGAACGGTCCAACTATTTAACATTGCCAATCCATCTTTGAACTTGGAAGTGTCAAAAACACTTCGATATTGTAAACGCAAAATAAAATTAAACTCATTATTGGAAAAATTTGTTTCATCATTCCATGTGTTGAGAACCTCCTGCAGAGTGATTGGGTTTTCGAAATGATATTGTTTTAAAAATTAAATTTCGTACACTTGATTGTAATATTAAATCTAAATATTTTCTGGCTCCAATATGAATGTGTATACAAAAAAAAAAAAGAAAAAAAAAAACGAAATACAAATCTCGTTTTTATTACAAAACAACAACTGGAAGAAGATTTATTTCACGCCATTGTGGATTAAAGTAGCAGAAGCATCAAAAAATGGAATGCGTGCCAAACCCAGTTCCCAATAGCCACTTCTTCTTAGAATGTTTAGTCAGATAAGTGGAACAATGTAAAAGAACAAAATGAAAACAGCAAAATCATCCTTTTAGTTTTCTTGATAAATATCACCACAATTTTTTATGGATTTCTCTTTATTATTTATGTGTTTTCGTTTATTTCGAAACACATTTAATTTATTTTTATTTTGCTTCTTTTGACAAATACTACGAATCTCATATAAATTTGACACTTAATTTGAAGAATGCCAAATTGTGGAAGTTCTCGTTTTTGTTTCTATTATTAATAATGCATTCAGAACTAAATTTCCAAATTCTTGAATGGTGGCAAATTTCTGGAAATTTGTTAAATACTGAATGGGGTTTAAAAGGGGCATTCTAAATATTTCCAAGATTTTAAATAAAGTAATAAATTTCTAAATATCGTCTATAAATACTCTATTCAAGAAACTAGACATCCAATACCTTATTCTTGAATCAAAAACAATTATCGTAGACATAGATTTAAATATTAGTATTTTACCGGCAGTCCCGGTTTCCAAAATTTTAGATGCCAATGAAGGGTATTACGCGCTGAATATCGACACGTAAGTCTTTTATTTTGATATTGGCTTAAGTCAATTTTTTCTTATATTCAGATGTTAATAGATTTGGGTTTAATTTGTTTCAAACATATTATTAAGTGGTATTAATTTTGATTGTGGATTTGTGCCCTTAAACATAATAGAATATATAGCATAATATGTTTTGTAAACTTGTTTAGAAAACCGAGATTTGTATCAGAACCTAAAATGGACTTAAACCACACATGGTCAAGGTTCTGACAATTTGTGTATCTGATATAAGCGAACATTGATATGACGATATATGTTGTGTAGTTTCAAATTTTTATTTAATCAAGCTTTAAATAATGAGCTGATATACTCAGCAAACTTTATGTATCCAGGCACGCAGACTCTGGTAGTAACGAAGAAGAATATCATAACAATTGTAAGATAATTTCAACCAGTTGTCATTTTTCAATTTTCAAATCACGAAAACTCAATCTAATTTGGTCTAAAATACCAAGTTTTATCTGAAAATTGGTTTCAAATTACAAAATGGTACTGTAGAATCTCACGTGTCTTCCTCGTCCATCTTTAGCCTTAGCATATATAATTTATGATTTTTTTTTAAATTCTACACATTTTGATTTAATTCCAATGAAATTTTCCACAATTTCGATCTCCGTTCCTTCAAGCAAAAATAAATCATTCTGACAACACCGTACCAAGTACAAATTTCATTTAATCTTTATTGTTAAGTCATTATAATCTAAACGACATCATAAGCATCCTGACAAAAATATTATTTTAACGACCGATTTGAAAGCAACACAAAGAAATACTAGAATTTTTATGGGTTTTCTCCGTTTCTTTTTGCGCTGTTAACAAACTCTTTATTCCTCCTTTGGGGTAGACAGGATAATTGCTCTCCATAGAGGGAGTATTGTATACGTATGTACGTATAATGGCACTATTAGCCACATACATACATTCTGTATGTCTCAAGTTACTTGTGATATCAAGTAACAATTTTCCCTTTAAAGCTTAAAACATTGCTGTTAAAATTGATACAACAAAAATACTGAAAAAAAATATTTCTGTGCGAACATACTTTCAGCTGGAAGATAATCATCCCACTCTACAGTTTGCTTCAGCTTCATTTTGTTTACTGTTTTTTTTTTCTTATTATTACATTTACCGCGGAAGGACCCTGTTATTTCATTAACGACGAGGTCAAAATGGAATCTCGAGAACAATCTGCTTTAAAGGTTAACTTTTATAAAGAAAACTATACATCCATTTACAAATTGTGGTCGTTGCGTGCAATCTTTTCAACTTTTACACCTTTTCTCGCATAAAGATAAACCGCATTTTATAATGAACGTATAATTAAGATAGTCCGAACAACTTAAGACTCTATGCTCCGCTTCAGTTTATCAATGATTGCCACCTTTTTTGCGGAATAATATTACTGCTTCTTTTTGCCTCATTATTGCCGTTTGCGGTATTCCACTGCCTTCCACTCGGGTTGTCAAAGAAACTGCGGAGAAACCCAAAAAAGGTCACTAAACTAGAGCGTCGAAGGCGGCGCGAAAGCAGCCAAACGGATAGAATCGAGCAAAATGCAGTTAATTACATTGGATTTAGAGTGTTTAGATAAGCACTCACAAGAACTTCTGTAGTTGGGAAAATGTAGTCAGTACTCATCCGCATGGCTACATTCAACGGTCATAATTGTATCTTTTGTGAATAGTCCAGATGGTGTGGGACAGTGCCACTTTTTTGGGGTACATAATAAACGCGAAATGAAAAAAGTGCCGTTAGAAGACGATGGTTTTTTCATTACATGGATGGATATAGGGGAGGAGTGTCTTAATCGTGTCCTTTAGTTATGCAATGGAATTCAACTCAATCTTCAAAGTTACAGTAATTTAGAGCTTAAACAGTTATTTAGCGTCTAAGTAATTAAATCAGTAAATTTTATAGGACACACGAGGACACTTTGTGGACAATGAATTGGTAAAATCTCTTGAAATTGGAAAAATGCAAAATAAATTACATTCTATGATAATCATAGGCCAAATAATTCGACATGAATTTAGGTTTTCTTAAGGTTCAAATTTTTAGTATCGGAAATGGACGAATATTTGATGATTTTAATTAAATCAAGCTTCATATACTAATTGGAAACAAATAACTGTTACCATATTACCATGATTGGCTGTTATATTGAATGAGAGAGACTTAAATGTATTTTAAAAATTGCTGTTGATATTTATAGTTGACCTGGCAAATTGTTAATGTTTTTGATGATGTTTCGGCTAAAGGTCAATGAAAAACTTTTGTTTATGTTTTTATTTAGTTTTTTATTCTTCCGATATTTCGATTGTCATCGACAATCATCATCAGGGATCTGTTACAAAATAAACAATTGGTTACATATTGAAACAAGAAAATTATAAAACACACGAATCTTACAATGTTTTTTTTTATTTTAAATTTGTGAAGGAAAACAACTGTTAAAATTGAAAACAAAAAGTGAAAAAAAATTTTCTGTTGCGAACTGTATATACTTTAGATATGTGATAACATCCCACCCTGTCAGTTTGCTTAGTTAATTTTGTTTACTGTTTTTTTCTTATTATTAACATTTCTCGTGAATCGACCCTGTTATTTCATTAACGACGAGCTAAAATGGAATCTTTGAAGTTTGCTTTAAAGGTTAACTTTTATAAAGCAAAGCTATACATCCATGTCTTTTGTTCTAGTGGCTTTTCAGATTTTTGATCGGATTTATGTCCGGAAAGATCGAGTTTTTAATTTTGTTTTTGTTAAGTGCCAATATATACCTTTTGGCATACTTCAGTTCGTCAAGATTGCTATCCTTTAAACTACATTGCACTTATCTTCTTTTTTAGTCTTCGTTTTTGTTTTGCTGAACATATTGTTGACACTGTTGGTGGTTTTTAAAGCTAATTGGTATTTGTCCAAAAATTGTAAAAGTTAGATCTGCCAAATCTCTCCGAAAATCCAGGAATGTATGAGCAAAAGATTTATAACATTTTTCATTTTCCTCTCTAATTCGCACGTTATTATTCTGCTTAGCATGTTTTAATAGGTCGTCGATTGTTTTTTGTGGAAAATTGTTCTTTTTTAATATGCGTCGTATTTTTATTTCGTTGTTATGATGGAAGTGTTGGTCACTTATGTTGAACACTCTATGTATAAAATTCGTTGCCGTGTTTATTTTCACTCTACGGGGATGATTTGAATGAAAATTTATCAGTCGCAAGATGCTGTTGGTTTTTGGTACCAATCTAGTTTAAGGTTATTGTCTTGTCTTATTATTATTGCATCTAGATATGGGAGCTTGCCATTTTTCTCTACTTCGTGCGTAAATTGTATTTTTTTGTCGAATGAATTCAAAATCTTTAGTGTGTTTTCGACTTCCTTTTTCTTTACTATACAAAAAATATCGTCCACGTACTTCGTTAATAACCTTGGTTTTATCGTCATCTTTTCTATAGAAGTGTCCAATAATTCCTCCATTATTACGTCAGCTATGATCGGTGACGGTGAAAATTAATTTCGATAATACCAATTTTTTTTTTTATTTTTTTGATTATCTGCATAGAAATAGGTATTTGTTTCCAGATAAAAATAAAAATTTTACGTTTATTTTTTTATTTCATTAAAAAACGAAGTGCGATTATTGAGAGATGCAAAATATTTTGGTTGAGAATTTGATCTTTATAACCCTCACTCGCCAAAAACCTTCTGTTATATTAAAAACACACAAACAATTGCCGGGTTAGGCACACATTTATCATATTTTGAAATATTTTCGGAATTGAGTGTTATGTCATATGTGTTTATTAAACAATATTTAAGAAATATAACATATTTATGTTATTTTGGCATCATTTAATTTGATTTGCAAACTAGCATAAACAACTTTCACAAAGAAAGCTAAAATTGTTCATGTGTAAATATATACGCTAAATTTTCCTGCTCAATGTCCATCCCTAATATTCATGCATTCTGTATATATTTTTTATGCACCGTATGGTTTAGCGTATCCTCACTGCACTTACACTGCCTTCACATTCACTGCTCTATGAACTGTTATAAGGATACACAAAATAATAAAAAAAAAAAACAGACAGTCGAACATCGTTACTGTCGCTGCTATGTTCACGCTACAATGCACCGAGTTGAAGCAATGAAATGTTACTAATTAGAGGTTATTGCTCCATTATTGGACATTACTCGAAACGACCCCCACTGCTGGAATAGCATGGAATGTCAAAAAGTTGTTTTCCGAATGAATATCTCTTGAAATAAAGAATTTGGTTCTTTTTCAGGGATGCTTCAAAGCTGTGAGTCAGTCAGATGCCAGTCAGTCAGTCAGTTGCCATAAAAGGATTTTCATAAAAGCCATATTTCTTAATTAAATTGTAATCGTATACCAATCCTACAGATGTGAATTGAAAGTAGGGTCATTGGATGAATATAAAACAAACCTCTGGCAAGTGACCTTCCACACCCGTACAAGAAGAAAATATTGGAACCAATTTGTCGTTTAGAGTGTTTTATTTCTAGCATTCCCACCGAGCTTGCTTTAATTATTTAATTAATTACAACTTTTTATTCTCAAATACATTTCATAACGTGCAACGCCGTTGGGCACTGTGAGTGGTAACATTTAAAACATGTACAGAATTTTCAAATATAACAACTTCTGAATATAAATTGCAGTTCAGTTGGTGGACCGAAAAACAGTGGAGAAATTAGAAATATGTTGTAAAATGTTAACTTTACGGTGGACAACTAAAAATATACATTCAATTCCAAGAATATACAAAACAAATACAAATTTTGCAATGAAAGGGCATATATACATACTTATATTTTTATATACGTATATTTTCTTTGTACTATAATTCAGCTTATAATACATACCCCAAACCCAATTATCATTACCACAACAATAAATACCAAATAACAAATAATTTATAGGCTTGCGTCTTTCGTATTTGCTTTAGTTATAAGCAATGTTCTATGGCTCGAGGTTTTTTATTTATTAAATTCAGAATCTAACAAAATGTAATTTCGTTTTATTTATGAGCCGTCCATTCCATGAATTTAGAAATATTTTACAATGTGAGACTGAAATGTAGAAACTTTAAATGTAGCCATAAATATGCACCACATTTAATTTAGACCGTTCAAAATTTAAGCATTTAAAAAATTCTATAAGTAACCAAGGTCTGAAAACCGCCTAGGACATGGAAAATATATTGCTATAATATCTATATATATATATATGAAAACTATGAGACTAAGAATGTTTCACGAATTTTGAATACTCTGTGGATATTTAGATAGGTATATTTAAGTTTGTGGATATGATGAGAAATCGAAAACAGAATTTTCTCAATAGATACTGGCACATGAGTCAAGCCCAAAACTGTGTGTCACATTCGAACAAATGTTATGATTTGCCTTCACTTTTCTTCAATTTCAGAATTTTGAGTTCCTGCTAAGTGGACCTCAATGGAAGCTGTATTAACTGCTAATTAGGCTTAGCTTGACTGCAGAGCGCTATTCAAAGTCTCTTGTATATTTTCTTGCTAGATGCAACACTAAAATTCAGCTACAGACACCGTATTTCCCAGATCTGCTCCCATTGTTATATGCTCCAACATTGTGTGGAAGATAATATTATGATTGATTTCCATATTTAACTCATCTAAGTAAAAATAATATTTAATATAATGTTTCCAGCAAACGAATATATAAATATATTATCATATTTTTTTTTTTAATTGTAATAAAATTTCGAAAATCTATACATCTTAACTAGCAATCATTGTATACTTACATGGTCGGCATTTATATGCTATCTCAACGAATTTTCGTATACCGGCACAAGGATCCCCACTGGCTAAAGGTTTAGAGTTTGCAGAAAATTTACAATGACGTTTCTTCTGGCAGGCGTCGACTACCGTCTGCAGCAGGGCATACTATAAAGTCGAAAAAGAAAATAGAAAAATATAAATATGTTTTTTTTTTAAGTAGGGCAATGAGTATTTCAGTGGCATTGGGGAGACGAACAAACAAACGACATTAACTGCATTTGAATCTTGACATTATTGTTTTATTGCTGACAATGAAAAACGTAAATACATCCGGGCTGTGCGAGTGCCGGAATAGCAACAAACACATTTGCATATTAAATGATCATAAAAAATAGAATATGAAAACAATTGATTTATTCGATGATTGCATTTTAATAATGATTCTTTTTTAATAATTTTTATTTAAATTTGCCAAGTGAAATTATTTCACTGTCACTGAAATAACTGTGAATTATAATGAAGTCCGTAATTATAGATTTTGTTGAGTAAAGTATATATATATTAAATAAATTTTAATAATTATTCCCGATCATTTCTATACTGGTTTTAAACTTTAAGATTAAGTTCTAAAAATTTTTAATAAAAAAAAAAATTATGCTTCGTAAAATATTCAACAAAGTGATGTTTCAAACGCCAAATAACTGATTTAAACGAACTGAATAGCAGTGTAAACGACTTTCTATATAAAATAAATTAAATACATTAAATTTGTTTCTGTTCTTTTATAATCCTTTGGACATTATTACCAAGTTGATAGCATTATTTATCCATTATTCTGTCATCAAATGGTGCCAAATTATTTCACACTTTTCAATTCCAAGTTTTAGAGTACCACTCTTACCTGGTGATAAATTGTTGATTGTATCGTACGATTTATATCTAGCCAACTCGCTAAGTAGGCAACTCCCTCTTTGTCAGATTTATCTGCATATTAATATGAACCATTTGCTAGATAACAATGCATGTACGATGGTGTACATGCGAGTATGCATGCAGAATAACCTGTGGTCTGATATCAATTTCCAATAGAATAGAACACAGCCCAGCATATGTGTGTGTGTATATGCGACCCCCAGAACAATGTACGGATATGGGGAAATCATTGAAATGTAATAATGTAAATCATGCAGGAATCCGAATAGTTCGACAAATCTAAGTGGCTGCAATGCATGAAAACCGATCAGCTCCAGCTCGAATTTCAGTCATCGGTAAGCACCATTAGAAGCCAACACAAATGCAAAAGGGATTCATCGTTCATGAGCCAGCCGATACAGTGGTCAATGTTACTAATCGGCCATCAAATGAAAAAATCTTTTGAAAAGTAGAAAAGCGGGCATGGGAATGACACTAACGTGTACAAACGAACCTAAACTATTTTACGATTATGATATGTTCGAGTGTTCGATCTTTTCTTTTTTTGTTGTTGCTGGTTAGTTGGCATAAACCTTATTTTTTATTGCATTTTGAGAATGTGCGTTTAAAGATAGGATTGGTCTTATATTTTAGGACACTGTGTAGCGTTATGTTGGATCCTTTACAGTTACCGTGTGTACATACTTAGTATATTGCATATCTGTACAAACATTCATGCACACATATTTATGTAGCCTGGACGTGTTTGGTATGTATTTAATTTTTTTTTTCATTTCATCCTCTATCTCATCTTCGTTCACCTCGTACCATATATAGCGTCAGCCGGCGCACACATAGCCATGGACATACTGGACGGAACTCTTTCGAAATATTGTCTATGGCATAAACATTGTTTGGCGTTACGCAGTAGGACTTTGAAAAACGAGTACTCGTATGTATGTGTGTATGGATATGTTCATGTGCGGGCTGGCCAAAGAATATGACTCTGTGTCGGTGAAGCGCTACATGTTGTGAATGGGGGAATGTACACTTGTGTATAATTGTGTGTTCAGGAGCCCAATCGCACACATATTGGCTGAACCTACTACATAGTCAATATTTGAACAAAGTTTTATCTATCTATCTATTGTAGCCATTGCGATGGCTGTGCTGTACCCTGTGTGATGTTCGAATATCTGCTGAACGAATAACAATCATCCGTTTAATAAAACGAGTCGCATCATCGGCATTGTTCATCGTTTGCTTCGATTCAAGTCTTTGCAATTTCGCACAAAACTCTTGACACACAAATGCCACATGAAGGTATTTTCAATTATGTTGCTCACCTGTAATCCGCTTACTGTACACGACTCCGGAGGCTTTACTTCGATTTGGGTCCCGCTATGAATGACGCCCGTGCTGCTACCAGTGCCAATGAGACCAGCACTTCCATCACCCGAACTGCTACCAGTGGTTGTTAGATCTTCTTGGGATAGTGGTGGACATAGGCTGTGGTCACTTAAATCTGTGACGATAGAAGATGTAAAGACAATAAAATTACACTCACAAAATAAAATTAATATAAAAAGATAGTGTGTGTATATAGACTAAAAAAATTGTAAACATTACAAATGTTTGTTATTAGATTTAAGTCAGGAAAAATTACGTAGTATTTACACAACTTAAAAACTGTCAAAAAATTAAATTTGTATTTGTTATAATTTATTTATATTTATTAAACGAAAATAAACAAAATGTCGTAATACAGTAATCGTCATTCGGGTCTTGTGCACATTTATGTTTATTATATATTAAAAAGGTCGGACATTTTGAATCTTTGTGATATTAGACAGCAAAAGGTGGAATACGTAATAAATTTGTCATTCCGTTTGCAACACTTCGAAATATTCAGACATATCCGTCCGTATCAATGAATCCGTATACATTTTTGCATTTCGTTTGTGGCTTAAGCGTTTAAAAATACAATATTAAAAAAAATACACTATCGAGTCACCTGCAACATTCTTCAGATCGGTAAATACCTTTTTTTGCATTCCTGGTTATAATGTTTACTCGGTCAAATTACTCGAATAAAAAGTTTATAATGAAACCATATTTTGTTGTGAGTTTTCTATAATTTATTGCATATTTTACTAGTTTTGTGGGTACAGGGACGGGTTTTGAGCAAAAAGTTGCAAAACTTTAAAAATTAGCTAGTACTGCAACGGAACTTTTGTGTAAATTTAAATTATCCGAAATTTGTGCACTGAATATCTCCTGCTACATTTCTATGCCTTGTTTTGTATTCTTCCAATGTTTTATTATTTCATCGTAGTTCTTTATTCCTCGTTGTCGTAGTGACTATGTTTTGCGGTAAGAAAAAAAAACGTTTCTTTATTATATCAAACTATTTCTTAGTATTTTAATTTCAAAGCAAATGAGGCAATTTTATGATGTAATATTTTTCAAATTATGCTGTAATATGTACTAAAAAAGTTGAACGCGAAAACAGAAGGCTGTGAGTATGAAAAGCACGACTATTCACTTTATATCGTTCACGTGAATATGTATCACCTATTAAAATTTATTTCTATATTTTGGGATAAAATTGTGAGTGTAGCTTCACTAAAAATATGTACATGCTTACGTTCGTGTATTGCTTAGTTTATCTTAAAGGGTAGAGCTTTGTTGAAAGGACGACTTATAGAATTTAAGCACAATCTCTCTCTCACACACACACACAAGTTTTCTATGAACGGAAATTTCTTGATTCAATGGTGAATGTGTGAGTGTGTTTGTGTGTTCATGTGTGCATGGGTGTTTATATTACTTATTACACATACCTCCTGCTCGACCATACTGGGCCAATTCAATGGAAATACTGGTACCACGCGGACAACTGAGCGACAGTTGTTCGGAATCACAGCCGGCCCTCTGATATGTCCTCAGTGTAGCTGCCAGCAGCGCTGAAAGGAAACAAATGATATTTGTATTACTTCTGCATGAATTGAGTTAATGCAATTTGAGTTGTATGCGGAAATGTAATTCCTGAGTTTTCACAAAAAAAAAAATGCAGTCCAAAAACTATATGTAGAAGTGTGTGTGTGTGTGCCTGTGGATGTGTTATTGTATCACAATCAATCTGTGACATTCAATAGATTTGCTGTCCTTAAATTGTCCATGTAATTGCTTTGAACATTATATGGAGGAGTCATGCAAATGGAATCATCGAGGGGTATACAGCTTATTCTACAGACTGTTAGTAGATTAAATTGTAGATTATTAAGATACTGTGGCAAAATCTAAACATAAGGGACAAATTTGATTTGTATTATAATAATACCTTCAAAACAAAATACTATTAAGCTGCTTATTTAGTACTCATATTTGCTTCAAGTGTTGATTTGGGTTTGTGGGTGTGTGTTTTCAAATTTAGGGTCACATAGAGTTTTGGATAAATAATACATAATTGGGAGAAGATACGATAGTTGAGGATATAAAATTGTTAATTCCAATTGCTACCTAAAAGTATGCTAAATTTTTTGGAATAATCGTATACGACAGTCTTGAAAAACGTCTTCACAGTTTCAGAAACGCTCTAATTTCCAATATATGGGAAATTACAAAATTCTTTTAAAATTCCATTAAAAAAATTTTGAAAAATTTTTTTGCGAGCACATTTATGATTTTTGGTACATATGTTAAGAAAAATATGCTGATTCGAAATCTGTTCGCGTTCACAAATTCGGATGCTGCGCACAAAAGATATAGCGGTTTTAAATCTTGTATTTCAAATATAAATTAAATGGATTCCTATTCGTTGTAATTCGCGAACTTCTTCACAAATGGTTAAACACTATTGTTTTCTTTGCATACTAGTCAAATCACACTGCAATACGGTTTAATAGTCGCGAAAAACAAATAGAAACATGAAGTTATCGGAAAATAAAATAAATTAATTTTTGAATTAAAACAATTTTTTTTTTTTGAATTTCCGATTTTTTTAGTATGGTTAAGAGGATACGGTTTTGCCTTAATCTTCTAAAATATACGACGCTTTCTTCTGCAAATTCTTTTAGATGATTGTTAAATATCGGTTGATTCATCTGATAAGAGTTTCGACGTCATTAATGGCTAAATATATTGCACTTACAATACATAAAAATGATCAATATTGAAAAGCTTGCAATTCGCGAATTAGTTGAAATCAGTTGATGCGCATGCGATTTTCGTATAAACCGAATCAATGTCTTTCAATAATTATGAATTTTTCGATGTTTAATATAGCGGTCAAAGTGTGCCACTCGATGCACTTTACTATGCAAAAACCCTAAAAATGGCTAAAAATCACGCAACGTGCATACGATTTCTATGCGCATCCGATTTCAGTAATCTCCTATGAAAATACACAAAAGGACACCTACTTTAAAAGGATCGGTTAAGAACCGCGGATGTGCCTCTACAATCTATTTTGGATAAAATACGCATATTATTCGCGTATCGATATATTTTTGACCTATTTCCACACAGATTCGCGAATTTGACAATACAAGCATAAATGCATGTAAAATTAATTCGAAGAAAACCGCGATTATTTACGCGAATTTGTCAAAATAAGTTTTTGCAGTTTTTCCCACATTCAAGGTACCTGTATCCGCCATTTTATTGGACGGAATTTAACATGGATGGGCTCATTAGATCTGGCACGTAAAAAAACTAAAATCACGCGGGGTTCCACGGAATTTGAATGGACTTCCTTAATTTTAGACTCAAAAAATATGTTTTTTATAAAAATTTACGCACCAAATTTTCGTCTTTGGAACCCAATTGCAAAGAAGCTACGGGTAGCACATTCATGAGATATGCACTAAACGAAGCAGAATCACGAGTTCTACAATCCCATAATTAGTTTATTCGATTATCTGGATGCGCATCCTAATTATAAGAAAAATTCAAAAAACACGGAAAATACGGCTTCAAAATGTCAGCATCCATTTTGGGTGGATGCAGTGATTATATCGAAAAATCATACATTAGAACCATATTGTCCATGGGGTATTCTGCAACTTAGTCACGGATCACATGTGCGTGCGTTGTGTAGTTTAGCCACAAATCGGGAACGAACACAAAAAACTCGTTGGCTTCAACACATTTTCACCCATTTTTTTACATTACCACCATCACAGCTTCCACGCAACTTATTATTTATTACCAATATTTTAAGATTTTGACAAGAACACTTCATTTTATAGAACTGAATTTAAATTATATGCAATATGTTCATATTTCGCGAGTTATAACCTTGCAAACCTCAGCTTCAAGGAATTTAAAAGATTTTTGTAATTTCCCATATGTATATCGTAGTATTTGAAATTTAAAATTGAAATTATATGTTTCTAGTGGTGTTTTACCAATCACAAAAGTATAAATAGATCAATAACCGTAGCACAATCATAGTAAATTAGTCTATAGGGACCGGGCTTGATGTATATAATCAATATTATATATACATTAATTAAATACATTTCAAATATATAAAATGCTCATTTTTGATCCATGAAAATTTATTGAAGAATTGCATTTAACCCCTCTTATTTCTTGTACATTACACTGCAAAATATTATCTTGCTGTGAGACAAAAATTATTTCCACCCCACGAATGGCTGCCAATAAAAACTCTACTCCAATAAAAATCTACGACCACTTATTCCATGCCACATTGTTTTAAATTTTCCAATGCCCCTTTCTGTTCTTTGTTCAATATATCATAATCACCATTCTCTCAATTTAATCCATAAAACGTTCAACATTTTACCGTTTTCAAATACGTTCGGAGGAATGAGACAGTGGTCCTGTCAAAAACGTTCACTAGCAATTGAACACTTTTTTAAAAGTAATTTAAACTTTGCAATAAATAACTGAATTAACTACAAATTAAATTTGTTCCATTTATTTCGAAAGCATAATTCATTTAGTTTCCAAACAATATTTGCATTTTTTCGATTCGATTCGATTCGACACTTGAATATAAATCGCAACCAAACTTAATTCATTCAAAGCACATAATCGAATTGTATTTTGTGTGGAAAGGACGTTTCAACTACCAAAAACTGAAAACAAAATCACGATACGCATTGTTGTTGTTGTTGTTTTTAGTTCAGAAACAAATCAACATTAAACGGCCTCACAATAATTTATATCTTTGTCTGCTCTGTTGTAGATTGCAACAATTTAAATAATTGTAGAAACGAATAGAGTAGAATATAACATCATTTTAGTGTTTTTAAAGTTATAAAGTGTTCGTTAGGGTTATGACTTTTTTGCAAACTCGTATCTCGGTATCATATTTTGATAAGTTTTTAAATAAGTATAGACAACATCTTAATGATTAGGCGATTTTATAAATGATTAGGCGATTTTATAAAAAACTCACTGCACTAAATGATTTCAATTTATTTTAATATAAGAGTTGTTTTTGGAGTCATTATTAGCAAATATATATCCCACTAAATGTTTGTAATTGTGAAAATTACAGACATTTCTACGAAATTGTTTTTTCCACAAACATATAATTTCTAAGTTGTTCATACGTTTGATACTAATGTTCAAAACTGTGTGAGTATAATGAAAATCTTAAATTAAATACTGGAAAATGCATAATTAACAGACAGAACCACAAAACCACCTTAATACATTTTGTATGTGCGACGGAATAATGAAATGACAATGCAACCGACAAACTTTAATTTGCACCACACATTCAGCATGACCAAGTGTTCGAACTAAAATATATGTATTTATGTATATTGTAAACGCCAATAAAATTTGAATGTAATAAATGACCGATAACATCGATAAAAATCCGTCAATACGACACAAGGCTGAGCAATTACATATATTTCAAATTATGGTGGCTTTTTGTATCTGTGCGTGTATGTATGTTCGAACGTAATAAGATTTCAGCAATCAATGAATACATTGTTTCCCGAACCACAACAATAACAATTGCAATCATTTGTATGCCAAATAACATCAGACGCGAAATCGAAAGCAATTTAATAGCATCGTTTGGCATCTTTGCAGACAATATTCAATCGATATCTTATGAATTTTGATGAATATTACATGACATGGAATATGAATAGATCTTATTTCCATATCATCAAGTAGTGGGCAAGGCCAACGCAAGTTTCAATGGTCCATATTTTAATACCCTTTTAATTTTATAGAGCATTTTCAAAATTTATTGTGTTTATTTATTCTTGGATATCTGAGTAGTCATAACGGAAAAAAAATAAGTGAGATAGGAGATATAATACTCTTATTCCACTTTTTGTGATATTGTTCACATATTAGATTCTGTTTATATATATCTGAACATATTTAAACTAAACGCGCGTAATTTACGGACCCCTGTGAAAAATTTGCTGATAACCCGAAATCGCAGGAAAATATACTTGTGAGCAATATATAAATATTTAATATTTGGGACAAATTTCAGAATCACTGATTATTAAATGCTGAAGACGTCTTTCTACATCATAGACACTAGATTAAAAAAAGAAAAAGTGGACAAAAAAGAAAAGATGAAACAAGTAACAACAATGTTAAATTCGGCCAGGCCGAACTTTTTATACCCTCCACCATGAGGACGACAATCAATATATTTAAAATTAATGAGGCTCCTAGGAGTATACTCATGTCATGATTGGACCTTGAACGTACCGAAAAATACGCGAGAAAAATACGATTCAAAGTGCAATTCGGTTGAAAAATGTGTCCAAAATTCTCAATATACCGACTTGGGTCAAAACACATAATTTGTGGTAATACCATTATGAGAATCCAAAATACCAAATTACAGCCAATTTGATCGAAAAACGTGTAAAATCCCCATATTGGGGCTAGCGTTATATGGGTGCTACCCTTAAACGAGGGTCAATATTAACATTTTTAAGTAATGAAA